AGGACAGGATATGTTGGTTCGAAAATATCTGAAAATCATTTGATATTTCTCTCACCAAGGGGTGGGTCTATGTTTCCTTCCCTTGAGTCTAGGCTGATCTTAGTGACAGGTTGATTTAGAAATAATTTAATCTCCTTTTGGAAAGATTATTTATAAAATGTAGTTTTTGATTTCTTAATCAATAACTCAGAATACACTTAACTTCCTCTTAACAATTCAGGTTACCATAAACATCACTTACTTGGCCTCTGTGACAATGCTCTGTGTTTTCGGCATGGTCATTTTTTATTTTTGCAGAATGTGATTTTAAGATCTGCAATGATATTGTTTTTCTCTCATTTTCTCTTTGAATTTTATAGATTTTCTTTACATGGCTTCTTTATTATCTTAGAATTATCTGATAAATAAAAGTTTTAATAAGTCTTTAGGTAACTTGTTTTCTCTGAGTTTCAGTAAAGGAAATAATTTCAGTTTGAATTCAAAGCTTTTTCTCCAACCTTCACATTTTGTGTCCTCCAAGTTGTTTTCTGCTTCTATTTCAGATACCAGTAAAGATGTCATCTGGCCAATTTGTGTGAAAATAGAGAATAATTCTCATCCAAACCGCCTGTCTCTGGATATAAGAAAAGCTCTGAGGGTCTCCAGAGTTAACAGAGGAAGGCTGAATTTTATGGTGATTGAGAATATTTCCAAGCTTATGAAGTAGAAAATATCATCAGTCTTTTCCGTGGTAGGAAAGAGTAAAGCCTGTAACAACAAGAAAAAAAAGTGATACAGTGGATGGGATGATGAGACCCTTGAAAAAAGCAAGGATGGACCAGAAACTGGTAACCCTCACCCATGGAATTTCATTATGAAGTTGTGGCAAGGGCCAAGCAGACCTGGATTTAAAACCCATCTCTTCAATGATGTAGATTTTGACAAGATATTTGATTTCTCTGAGCCTCAGTTTGTTATCTGCAAAAAAGGGAGATATGAATGGTTATGTTATTGGATTTTCATGAACATTAAATATGATAATGTCAGATTGTTCAGCCAAGTTTCTAGCTTATAGTACAGATTCAAATATTATCTTTTTTTTTTCCCCCACCAACTTCTTTTCCGGGAAAATACAAAGCTACTCTTTAGCCAAATTATAAAATAGGGGTTATTTATTTTGGGAATCATTAATACCCATCTGCCCCTTTTTTGGTCCATTGGGCATATTGAAATGAATGATTAATACTCATCACTTTGTGGTGTATACATTGTTTTGTTTCTTTATAGCCAGAGTCGGGTCTTCAACTCTAACCAAAGTAAAGGAAACTGGAAAGACACATGCTGTTTCAGTCATTAATAGAAAGCTGTCCAGGTAAGTTTCTGATGGTACATCAGTTGGAAATAATATTTAGCTATTCATAATAAAAAGCTGAAAACAGTGGCTTGAATCAATTGAAGATTTTGTTTTTCTCATAATACAGCTGACAATAATGTGGTTGCCTTTATGATATCAAAGACCCAGGTTCCTTTTGTCTTTCTGCTTAACTTGCCTTGGCAAATGCTTGCCACTTCATGGTCACATGATGGCTGACTTACCGTAACCTTCAGGTAGAAAGAAAGGAAGAGGTAAAGAGATAAAGGTACATTCCAGCTGACTCAGTATCTCCTTCCCTTTGAAAACCTCGCAGAAACTGCCCTATAACTTCTACTGACATCTCAATGGCTAGATCAGTGCTATACAACAAAACTTTGTGCAATGATAGAAATGTTCTCTATCTGAACTATCCAAGATGTTAGCTACTAGCCACTTATGACTGTTTAGCATTTACAGTGTCACTTGTGGAACTGACAAAATGAACTTTTAATTTTACTTAATTTTAATAAATTTAAATTTAAATAGATACATGTATCTAGTGGCTACCATAATAAATAGTGCAGAGCTAGACCTTAATCACATCACTACGCCATCTGCAAGAAAAGCTGGAAAATGTAGGTTTGGAGCTGAGCACATTGCTACCTTCCACAAAATTATATTTTTCTTAGTAAGGAAAAACAAAAATGGATATAGGCTGGGCAAATAGCAGCCCCTGCAACCAAGGGATAGCTGCCTGCTAATATTCCTTAAGCCCAGAGGAATGGAGTCCTAATGGGTTTATCACAGGCATGAGAAAATGGTGTGTCTGGGAAGATATTATGTAGCTGAAAAGCAGAATCTTGGAGCTGGAGTTCAAATACTTTCTTTTTATGATGAGAAAAGTGAGTCTCAGAGGGACGACTGAGAGACCTCATTAATAGAGCAATAGGAAAACCTGCTCTGAAATAATATAGAGCTATTTGGTGGCCTTTATAACATCACTTATGATAAAATGTAAAATCTCAGAAAGAAAATGCCCTCTGCCTATGGTTTTTAAAATACAGGAATGAAAAGCTAGAGAGATTTTGATGCCACCTATTGGTAGACAAAAGTATAAAGTGCCCTTTCATTGTACAGGTTCAGTGTTAGACGCACCACAGGTGGTATAGGGTTCCCATAATACAAAAAATGACAGACAGTGGAATATTTAATTCCTGCATCAGCTTGGAACATGTACGTTAGTTTTCCTTGACTCTTAGCATCTTTGAAGAAGTGCTTTCTTAGAGTGTTCCTTTCTGCTTTCCAGCAATGCATCACACCTCAGGCATATACAGAAACACCAGAGGAAGGCATATCAGTCAATTCTCAAAAATCATTTGAAATAGAAAAAAGAACAAATTTTTAAGCTATAAATAGCCCTAGGGTGAGATTCAAGGTTCTTACATGATCCACAGCCTCAAAAATATATCCTGTTATTTACAGCAGTTCCCTTGAGTAATTGAATATGTAACCATCTCACAGCTCAAAAGAAAAAGAAAACAGGAATTCAATTGCAAAACAAAATGCACACCCTGACTCATTCAGGGAAGCATCCAAGGGTTTTGATGCAGGGCACTGACTCTCTGCCTGTTTTTCCCTTTCATCATCTGCTCTCCTTCAAAAATGGTATCAACTGCACTGGTATGAATCCACATTTCTTCCCTTTTGTTCCCTGGCTCCATTCCAGAATTTCACTTGTCACACTGATGGGTGAGATGCCTTTCATACTGGCACAAGGCACTGAGCGGATGCCTCCCCTTATGTTATCAAACAGAGACCCGGCGAGTCAATCTACCCAGAGCTGATGCTCCTTTGCAACTTGGGAACACCAGTGTCACAGTGGCTCCTTGGCTTGTCTTTAGATAAATTTGACCATGGCTGTAGAACCCAGCAGCTCAGAATCCATTAAAAGGAGAGTTGGGAGGAGGTAAGTGATACAGACAAGGGGATTTTGATGTTACAATTGTTGAGGGGACTGTGCCTGGTGGGCAACTTGCTGTGGGGGCAGTGATTGAAAACATGGATTATTAGCTGGTTACACATCTTCATTTGTGCAGATGAACTGTTGATTTCATGTAAGAGATGGGAGTAAATTCTGCTTTATGTGCCCTGTAAAAAGCCTCTTTGAATTTACCTTCAGTGTCATGCCTTGAGAAAAAATTCCAAGTTTCTGGCATAAAGCTGCACGTGTTTCTGCACACTGGCATGCAGGCAACTGTTTGTTTCTAATTAGGGAGCTGAAGCCTGCTGGCAAAGGAAACCCTATTTGTCACAAGTTGTGGAATTGTGTTTAGTTTGTGTATCTGTGGTTTTAATGTGTAGGGCCAAAGATAACCATGTTGTTTTTCTTTTCCCCTATGAGCTTTGACTCTGTAACTTCTCTGTGGTCCATGTGTTCAGCCATTCTTAGCTGCCCCTTTAGAGATTGCCTCAGTGAAAAACCTCTAGACTCCCATGAACTAATTGTATTCCCTGGTCTGGTCATTTCAACCACCCAAACAAATAGTAAAACTTTCTTGGGCAGATTGTTGTAAAAATTAAATGGGATGGTAAGTAGAGTACCTAACAGATTGCCTGGAAATAGTACATGCGCAGCACGTCTTAATTCCTTTTCTCTCAATTATAATACAAGAAGTTAATGCTGAATGGTCTCTAAGATATTTACATTATTTTTAATTTCATAAATGTTTGTTCGCTACCTACTAAATGGCAGACACCTTCCTAGGCATTGGGGCTATAATCATGAACAAGACAACAAAACAGACATATTACTCACCTTCATGGAAATTAAATTTTAGAGGATACAACTAACATGCAAGGAAAGGCATAATGACCTTTCCTTCTTTTCCCTTCATCTGAGTTCAATCCAACTCAAACTTTGAGCTTATCTCTGAGGCTACCTCTTAACAAAACCAGGAAGCAATATTTTTGGACTTAACATTTTCACATTTAGTAATCATAATGCTGGTTTTACCTGCTTAGCATCTATCTCCCCTTTCCTGGTAGGAGGACCCTGAATATCCCTTGGACAATTGTCTCTGTGTCTCACTCTTAATGGGTGTAGATCAGGTGGGGCTCCATCCTGGCTCCAGGAGTGCTGTAGAAGACATCACATACTCCCAGACATTGCGGAAGGCCTGGCCCATTAGTGTAGTTCCATATCCAAAGGTTACAATGATTGACTTATGCATAACCAAGTGACCCAAGTTTTTGCAATCAAAGCAAATCCAAGGATTTAAGTAGTTTCAGTGTATAGAGAAGCTCTCTGAGGTCCTTTCCAGGGTCCATGTTTAGTATTATCCTATTTCAGAAAGGCTTTAGAGGTGACTGAAGGAAGAAAAATATTATTTGTATTCTTTCTGAAGGTTGTCTCTCTGCTTATCAAAGATCTTTCTGACTACTTCTATAGAACAAGTAAGAGGGAGTCCTGCTCCTTACCTTATTGTTTCTCCTTTTCTGGACTTTGAAATTGAGAATTCTATGGTTAGTGAAATGATTTTGGCTGATATTCCCTCCAACCTGAAGAGAGGCTTTGTTAGCACCTTAATAGGGTGAGAAGGAAGACCTTCCATCTCCTCTCCATGTTAGATGTAATGCACTCTATGCCATCCCAATGTCAGAAAGAGACTGTCATTCACTTTACTTCATTAATTCTAAAGTCCAATTTGTGAGTCTGACAATATCAATGTGCAGACAGTATTTAGTTTTCTTGTTTGTCTATGGTAGCAGACATAATCAGAAACAATGCCCTGTATTTCAATAAGTTCATTTGTCTGCATTTGAATAAGTTTGAAACAGGAAGGCCATGCTTTCTCTCTAAAGTGCTTTATAACATGTGGAAGTGGTTACCCCTTACATAAGATAGCATATCGGTATCTATCTTTAAGCATGGGTACTCCCTAAGTATTTCTTTATCTTATTTGTGAGGTGGATGTATTCAGAACCCGTTATTAGTCGAAGAAAATACTCTTTGTCCATCAATTTACTCATGCATTTAGTTGCTAAAAATAATTACCAGGCTTCTACCATACGCCTGAAGCTTTTGTAGACATGGCTGATACAGAGGTGAGCAACACCTCCACCATTTCTGGTGAGAGTTAAGCACCCATCTAAGAAGTTTTCTTTAATGTGTGCAAAAAAAGTGTAACTCCCATTCCCCTTGCAACCCCGCCGCGATACTACAGCTCCACCCTGGAGTAGAGATGGAGACCAAACACTTGGAGATCTAAATCAAGTGTCCCCAGGAGCCCAGTGGAGCGACGAAGCGGAGCAGAAAGCCCGGACTGTGAGCGCGGCAGGACCACGGAGAGCGCCGCCGCCGCCAAGGACTGGGCGGGGCCCGGGGCTCGGGTTCCCGGGGCAATGCTCGTCTCCGCCAGCAACCCCCAGGGGGCGCTCGCGCGGAGGTTTCCGAACTAGTCTCTTGCCGGGTTGCTGGGTGCATGGGTTTCGTCAGAAGGTGGAAATCTCTGTGAGAAGCTGCCGTCTCCCCGCCACCCGCTCATCCCCTTCTCTTCCTGCCGTCCTCCTTCCCTCCCTCGCTCCTCTCCACCCCTCCCTCTTTCCTCAGTACCCTCCTCTTTACTCTCTGAGTTAACTCAGAGCCGACCTGCCGTCTCCAGCGTTTTCACCCTCTTCCCCCACCGCCATCACCGAGAATGGAGTCAGGGTTTCCGGAGAGACCAAACTCTGCCCTCAGCACCTTTCCCAGCCGCTGTTGCTAAACTGGCCTCGGAGGACGCGAGGGGAAGGAGGTGCGACGCCCCTCACACCACCACGTAACTACAGCACAGCCGCCCCCACTCCAAAGCCGGATTTTGCGTCCTGGGGGCGGGACAGACCTCGTCCCGGGCTGAATTCTCTCTGCACTCCTCCAGGTTGGCACACCCAGGTAAGTCAATGCCAACTCTTCATTCCCGTGTTCCCGGGGCGCTGTGATTGCAAAGTCTGTTGGGGCTGCTGCGTAGCACGACCAACTTTTGAGATGCACCGATTCTCGCTCACATTTGCTCGCGTATCGTTGCTGTTGTTGTTTTTAAAAAGCAGCTGCAAGCGTCGTCTTTCATCTGAGGGAACTTTCCTCCCCCACCTCTCGCCTGCTGACGTCCACCCAACTCGCCCTGGGTGGGGTGGGGGGAATGGAGTTGGGGAGGAAGACCGCGCAGCGGAGGGGACGTCCCGAAGGCGGAAGAAGGGGTACAGTTTTCAAAACGGGGAGGGGGAGGGAACCCGGGCTGAAGTTGCAGCTTCCTCTCTGACAGTGAGAAAGCTGTGGGACATTGTAGTCCCGTCCGGTGACTTGACCTGGCTGCGGTTGGATTCAGCCTCTCAACCTCCTCCCCCACACTTCTGACAATGAGCTTCTGATAATATTTAGTTGCCTCAGGGGCTCTCAGCGTTAAAAACTAATCGATAGGCTTGCAAGTGCCTTGATTCAAGCCAGTCCTTCAGCGCTGCTTCCTCTGTGGAATAAAGTAGCCGGAGGGAAAAGGGGGCGGGGGACGGGACATGAGGGACCTCTGAAGCCAAGCCACAGCTGAGTAAGGAGATCACGACCCCGCGTGGTATCACAGACACACGAGAACTGTTAATGAGTCAATTAGGAGTTGGGCCACGCCAAGTCAAGTGAGTGCTGATTACCATCCGGTGAGGAGCAGGCTCAACCCTGATGAAAAATGCTCCCCGTTCATCTTGGAGTTGGTGGGCTTTAAGGCTCGATTTCCCATTCTATTTTCCAAATCTGACCGCGCCCCCGGGGCGCCTTGGCCGACTGGCTTTCAACCCCAGAACCTGTCAGGCTCCAGGGAAAATCACAGGGGGCAGAGATGATCCAAGGGAGGCAAACTTATGAAGGGCTTGATGTCGGGGGTTGGGAGGTGGAGGGAGGAAAGGTGAGCAGAGTGAGGGGGGAGGGGCTGGGGAAGGGAGAGTTCCCTGAGAAGCTTTGCAAGAAAAACATCTGAGAACCTCTCCCTCTACACACACACACACACTCACTCTCACACTCACAGGATTTGAGTGAGTGTGAGAGTGAGTGCCTTGTGGGAAAGGATGCCTCAGCACCTTTCGCCCTGGGTTCAAAACTATGCAAAACCAATTCTTCATCCTCTTGCTGCTTTGCCAGGGATTTTGAAAGCATTGTTCTGGTTTTCCTTGGCTCACTTGGTTTTGTTTCCTGAACAGCACTTTTCAACTGTCCAAGGTACTTTAATGTGTTCCCTTTAAATGAAACTAAACCCAGCTCATTCACAGGTGCGCACACACAGATACAATTACCTTAACCTCAAAGTGTTATTTTCTCCCTTCTATTCGCTTAACAATCCCTGTTCTCACAGGCCTTTGTGTTTTGTTTTCTGCGTTGTATTAAAACAAACAAAAAATGAAACACCTGAACACTTTCCCATAACATAGGTGTTTTGAATCCACGCCATTTTTTGTAGTTAGCATACACTGGTTAAACCACATAGTATATATCTTCCAAAAGCCAGAGGCAAGCAAAAACTTAATTTGATGCCCTTCAAGTTTAGGAAGGTCCCATTTCTTTTTATTAACTAAAAGATAAGATGAAGCTCAGCATGGCTATGGCTGTGATTAGATAACTTCTGATATTTTCATTTCCCTTACTGAGCTGCTGCTTCCAAGCTGAGCTCATTTTATTCACCTGCCCATTTTTAAAGAGAGACTGACAAAGTCACTCTATCAGGTCAGGACTCAGAGTAAGTCAAAGGTTCTCACAGGTAGAGAGGTGCATAAAAATAGAGGGAGGGCTGGAAAATACAGTCAAAACACCTGTGTTAGTAGTTCATACTGATAAAGGCCAAAATTTTCTCATTTATCTCACATGGGAAGATTCTTATGGTTTTAGAGGATCAAAATCAAAACACATCGGAATGAGATGATTTTCCATTAACATTGCGTGAAAGAATATATTGGTCTATAGCAATAGTAGATGTTTAACCCTGGGCAGTTTTGTATGATTGTGTGAGAAGAGAGTGCCTACAATTGAACCAAAGCTCTACTTATGTGTTAACGAGTGAACACTCCTAAGACCATCAAACCTATGCCTTTCCTGTGAGTGGTCAGCTTTATTTTTATTCTCCCAGACACAGGTCCAGCATATTTGACTGGGAGAAGGCACAGATGCGGTACAGTGACTTCCCAATGTGAGATAATTGCTTTACAGGAATTTCCAAATATTTCTTTGAAAATAGTTGCTCTGAGTTGTTTCTTAACTGTAAAAAGAAATTAAAAGACTTCCTGTTTATCTCCAGGTTTCCAGTAGCAACATGACATTTTGGTTGAATTACTGGTTTGTCTTAAGGGGATCCTGTTTTTAGAGGTTTTAATTAAAAGGTGTTTGTTCTAAAGTGTATCTTAATTTGCTTGTGGATTTCTAATTAAAAACACCTCATTTCAGTTAGGAAGTAAAGATGTTATCTGTTTATAGAGTTTTATGTAATATTCCAAAAAAATAGAAGAAAGCTTTGATTCTTTTTAATCATTAGGTGATTTGAGTCCATTATTATGACTGAAAATCTTGAGGTTATATTCACTATAAGAAACAATCACAGATGAAAAAAATGGGTTAGTGGTGGAATTTTCATTTTCAGGTGCATTTGAATCTTTTGGAATTAATACTGAATGCATTTATAAGGTTTGCACGAAGACTTCTTCTGACTTCACTTTGAAAATTCTTTGAACTGTAACACCCTAGATCATTATGTTACCTTTACCCATATAAAGAAAGGATCTTTTCATTTAGAGATGAATTTATTGACCACGAGCAGCCAGTGTTGTGTGTAATCAATGCCCCACACTTTCAGAGAGGTCTGAATCCAAAACAAAGAATGAGACCAGTACTCTGATGATATCAACTTTACTAATTGGGTAAAAATGTCTCTACACTAGTTGGGAAAAATCACTTCATGAATCTTTGTATTTTTTAATCAGTGATGTGCAAGATCTGTATTCCATGCACTTTGAAGAGAGATAGGGCTAAATTTGTTTTCCATATTTGATCTTTCCATTTTTGTCATGTTAATATTTTAAAAGAAAAACAAAAACCCCTGCATGGAGATCCATGCAGTAACCCAAAGTCATATTTCCTTGGCAACAGTAGCCAGTACACTAGATTTACAAAATATCAGGATAGAAAAATTTAAATGCATTCAAAATAAAATGTCAAGTAGTTCAAGACCATTCTTTGGTGCATTAAAACTGGTCTTTCAACATATAATATTAGAGTTGCCTTTCTCCTGATTGAATGTAGATGGCAAAAAATACTGATTTTAATTCTTTTTGAGATGTCCCCAAAAACTTACAATATTTTATTTTGAGGGAAGCATATTATGAAAATAATTTAGGTTGGGGTTACACATCCATTTTTTGGATAAAGTATTTATGTAAAGGTTGATGGTAAATCAAAAAATCAAGCACAATAAATAGGTCAGGTAAGATGCATTATGTTTTCTATGTTATTTGAAATAGGCTATAGTAAGGGCTCAATTAGTTTTAAAGTCAACCAGTGAATATCTTCTAAACTAGTGACTGCATAATAAAAACATAGTAGTGCCTACATATACTTTCGGGTTTTTTTTTCTGTACTAGAAACTGCAGTTATGTGGGAGCTGCTTGCTGTATGAACTACTAAATATATATTATATATTGTGTATATTTTCTCCTAAACTGGCACATCCTAGGAAGTCCTTTATTTCTCTGCTATACAGTATTCTTTGGAAACCCTCTTGAGAACTATCAGCTTTTAGCTCAGTAAATACTGGGGGTTGGAAGGCAAGTCTTGACAATAAGAAAGCGATAAGGATGCTTTCTTTGGGAAAATTTATTCTAGTCCTATGATTTTAGTCATAGGGCTAGAAGGGGAGCCCATTTAAGCTGATCTATGATGGACTTATCTCTAAACTGTGAACAGCAACTTTATTGCTTTGAATCTACGGCTCTCAAAACTGGAAGAGAGCTTGGGAATCATCTACTGACTGTAGCTATTTAATTTGACAAATGTGGAACTAAAACTCAAATAAGAGACTTCTCAAAATCAGGGGACTCATTCAACAACCCTCTGATTACTCCCCTCGTAAGGAAACTCATGTTCCCTGGAGGTAATTACAGCGGTGGCGCCAATCTCTGGCACCATGTGCACAGCTGATCTTTATTGAGTATGAGTTAGGATGATTGCGGGGGGGGGGGGGTGTCTCCCACCACCATTAGCGTGTCAGGAGGAGTAGGCTTGGGACTTATTACATTGCTGTCTCCTGGAGCCAGTGCAATATTTACCAAATAAATGTGATTGAATTTGTACAAAGTCATTGTCTGCAGCCATCTCTGTTAATGTGCATGTTCTGTGAAAAATTGCTCATGCATAGACTTAGCTACCTATTTAAAATGTCACAATTGAGTCAATAAAATAAAGAGATTATGAGTGTTTACAGTTCCAGAAACACACAGGGAAATCCTTTATTCTGTTTTAAGGCATTAAAACATTCAGAAAGAGAAAACTTTCTTAAATGTTGCTTTTACATCTTTGGCTCAGAACATAGTATTTCTAACTTTGTTTTTCTTATTACTTAGGAAACTAGATACATTTCTCCTTGGAAACGTCAGGGGGGAAATACAGTATTTCGGGTTAACCCTAGAAACCTCAGGTTTAAGGTATATTGACCAGAAGACCTCTTTCTTATCCAATATATCCCAAACCTCTGCAGGGCAATTCCTTACACCCTGAGGTAGAGGAGGAATAAAACCAGGCTAGCAGCGTCCAGGGTAGGGCAAGCCCTAGGAGTTGGTGAGTCTAGAAAGACGGACCAGAGAGAACGAGCATTAGAATGGACAATCGCTAGAGGGCGCCGGAGCACCAGCGGAGTCCACCTCCGAGAC